TTTCAGAAGTGTCTAGCCCTAGCAGTCAACTATTAAGCTTGACCAATCAGGTCGGTGAGCGTGGTTATTTGGAGTGTGTTAATTCATTTGTGTTTGCCAAAAACTCTAACGTGATTGGTCGGGCTTAATAGTTGCCTGCTAGGGCTAGACACAAGTGTTGTTTTCACCAGTTTTGGATCGCAATCATCAGCCTCCTGTTTCTTAACGTACTCTAGAAGATTTAGTTGGCCAAACCTATTTCTTTTTGATATTTATTTTTTTATCCAACGTTTTTTTATAAATTTTTTCCTCGATTTTTTCTCACTTACATATATTATACCAAAATGATGGCAATACACGCTTTTATTATCTTTTATTTTTTGATATAGGACATATAATTCACCCTTAATATCTGCACAAAACTTAATATTGATATATATTGACCGTGTCAGGCCACATTTCAAATATTGATAAAACATTGGCAATAAAAAATATTGGCAATATTATTGATCGATTGTGTGAGGCTTAAGAAGCTCAATTTTGGCATACAGGTTGATTCTAGGGTGTAGAGGTTCGATAAGAAGGGATTTTTCGAAATTCCAGTTCCAAGGGGGTGAAACCATCCGTCAAATATTACAATATTTTTTATTTAAAAAACGGTCAAGTTTCCGAAAAAACGCTTAAACACATATATTTTATTTTGTTTTTTTACTTATTTTACGAATTTTTAAAAATATATACAGGGTGTTTCGAAAAATCTGGCTATTAATCAATCACGATCCTGCTTAAAACGCTTGACGTAAAAAGCTGATTTTTGGAAAACGGATTGACTTTACGGTGTAGAGGTTCGATGAGAAGGGATTTTTCGAAACTCGAATTCTAAGGGGGTGAAACCACCCGTCAAATATTAGAATATTTTTTTATTTAAAAACCGGTGAGTTTTTCGGGAAAACCCTTAAACACGTATATTTTATTGTGTTGTTTTACATATTTTAAATCTTTTTAAAAAAATATACGGGGTGTTTCATAAAATATGACCATTGAGTAATCACGATTCTGCTTAAACTGCTTGACGTTTAAAGCTGATTTTTGGCAAATGGATTGACTGTGGGGTGTAGAGGTTCGATAAGGAAGGGTTTCTCGAATCTCAAATTCCAAGAGGGTGAAAACGCTCCTCAAATATTACAATATTTGTTATTTAAAAAACGGTTAGTCTTTCGGGAAAACGCTTGGACAAGCATAATTTATTTGGTTTACATATTTTTAAATTTTTTAAAAAATCATACAGGGTATTCCAAAAAGTTGGGTAATTGATTACCCACGATTCTGCTTAAACTGCCAAAATATAATAATATCGCCATATTGTTTTTTCTCATGCTGACATAAATGTGAATAAGAAATGCTAACAGTTTTTATTTATTATTTTAAAGGAATTTGTTGAATTTTACTAGTAAATATTGGCAGTTGTTAATTATTTACTGAAAATTGTCAGTAAAAGTCATTCTATTGTATAATAGAAAGCGCTTTGGAGGAAGTTGGAACAAATAAAATTAAATATACCATATTTAAACTGATTGGCTTATTCTAAAATTACAAGATAGCGATAACAAATCAGAAACACCAAAATTAAAACATTTGCTTTTATAATTAACCTCAAATGTTTTAGTTTCAACCTTTTTTTTCGTGATTCTCTATTTTTTCTTTAAATTTAATACGAATTTAATTGCTTTCAACAATTGCTTTTAAAATTAATATCTCACGACCAAATTATTAATCTATTATGTTAGTTAACTATTATTAATAACCTGGCTATACCGATAGGCACTCATCGTAATTTCTAGAGGGTAACTTAGGGGCAGCTGCAAGCAGATAGTCAAAAAGTAATGTGAATTTGAATGCTAACATCCACTAGTAACCTCCAATGAATGCTACGATTTACTAGTAAATATTTGTTTCAGAATTAGTTGTTGTTGTTGAACTTTTACTGGTGTAGTGTTAGGCAAATTAATCAAGGTAATCTTTTACTAGTAATTTTTACTATTCACAGATTTCTCGCATTTACTTTAACATACGGGATCCGGCAATAGTGCGTCGGGCATATGTAGCTCATAGAATAAAAAACTTGAGAATTTTGTGGCACGGCATATAAATCACACGGCAGGCCGACTCGCTTAGACGGGATCGCTACGCGCATATCCTTGCGCACGCCGCCATTATGGGTGCCAGCAACAGAAATTAACCAGTGTCGTAGTCAGTTGTAGTTTTTGTCATCGACAACAAACAGTTATGGCAGCTTTGAGTCAGTAGCGTGGTGGTTAATTCATTTCGTTCTTTTCTTGAGTGATATATTTTTTTTAGTTTTATTTTTGTTTATTGTGTGATATATTTGGTTTTTGTAGTTTTATTTTTGTTTTTCTGGACATTTTTAATATAACAGTGATTTGGTAGCTTATTATATTATATATTATATCACTTATTAATAAAATATCGTTCATACCAATATTTTTAAATTTAATAATTGCGTCAAATACAATTTCCTTCAGCTGTTTACTTGGGCATGTAGTGTGATAAAGAAAATAAGCTAGGGATTGCTTCCAATTGGTAAAGATACTACTTACCATAACAACATTAGACACCCGTGCTGCTTTAAACTCTCTGCTCCCCTTCTCCTGGTTCTCAAAACCTACAATATTATCACGACTACTATTATAAAATAAATTGCACTTGGTATTCATATCATCAATAGTGAACACAATATCGATTAAGTTCATCCTGTTCATCGAAACTTTCAAATTTTCTAAGCCAGGTTTGATATCGATGTCATATATTCATTTTCTTAGTGTCTCTGGGTCTCTGAACGTGAAAGACAAAATAGATTTGTCAAGAGCATTTTGTATATTTTTGGCCCAGAAAAGTATATCGCCAAACATTTATATTTAAATTCTTCAGTTACCTTTCTTCCTTTAGCTGATATGTTAATTTGTGCAACTTGAATATTAACAAAATTTGCCATGTCCATTGATGGACACAATTTGTACGTAGCCTCTTTAGATTGTTCAATAGATAATTTATTGGGTATTTCTTTAATGCTTGTTTGTAACTGCTGGCATGTTTTTTAATTTTAAATTGTCTATTCTCTACAGTTAAATGTTTAATTGATTTTTTCATTTTTACTTTTCGAGGAGTATGCGCGGTTAGCGATACATTTGTTTAGACAAAAGTATTGTGTAAATAAAATTCAGTTTAGTCAATTACAGTATTTTTTTTTAATACGACCCTCTCTATCAATAGTTTATTTTCTGGGAAATTTTTTGATACGTTTTAATCCGGCCCTGACTCGGCACCCATAATGGCGTTTTCAAGGTCAAATTTTATAGAAATTTTAAACAATGGGATCTAGGGAGAGTTAGCCTGGCCGTGCGATTTATATGCCGTGCCTAAACTATGTACTAGGATGTATTTCAGGAAAATATTCTTCTACAGGTTGACTCAAAAAAGTCGATCGGAATATTTTTTTTTAAATGGAACACCCGGTATATCATTGCATTTTTGGCTTCCGTTCAGATCGCTTTACATAATCCTAAGATATGAGTAAATATATTTTGATAGTTTCAACGATAATTAATAAATGAAAAGAACCTGCGCTGAAATCATAACTATATTAGGTCTTTTCTTTAGACCGTACCTACTTTGCTATAAATATCGTAACCTTAAATCATACAGAATGTTCATAATTCTACGACAAGCTTTCTAAAATATAAAATATTTTTTCTTCGTTTCTTTAAATAGAGCACCCTGTATACTATTTTTTTATTAATTGGTGAATGGTATTATTTTATATACCTCTTTCAACGGTAAAATACGTGAGAAAAATCATTGGGTTGCTTTGACAAAAATTTGCTGTGGAAAACCGTCTCTAAAAAGGAAAGTCTCTAAATACAAAAAAAATGTTCATTTTTTAATTCTCCAAAAAAATAATATAGAGTTCAATTTAAAAAAAATATCCTAATCTACTCACACTTTCCTGAATCACCCTGTAGAAGTTAAAATATTTTACTGAAATACATCCATGAGTTACACACTTTAGGTTTGCAATTAAACAAAATTGCCTTATAATTATTTTTATTCTAGGAGCTACAGATGTCCGACGCACTTTTGCCGGACACTGTGTACATAATTTTAAATTGAAATTGATTAAAAAGTATAAATAAGTGAGATATCTGTCCTATTCATCAAAAATGGTATCATAGAAATACATACATTATAAGAATCTATATGAAATGAACATATACATATTATATATTCATATATATTATTTATTAATAATATAAATAATTCTCTGTAAATTTTGTAAATTTGTAAAAAAAATCTAGACTTAAGTACCGTATTATTAAAGACTAAAATTAATAAATAGATATAGTAAATTATATTTGTAAATAATATATACTTTCTTACCTATTTGAACCACCATCCTTGAACAAACCAATCTTCATACTCTACTAATGAAAATATAAAAGATGGATATTCTAAATGAGGCTGATTGATTCAGTTTACTTTGACAAACCACTTAGGAAAATTAGTGTAGAAAAAATAAAAATATAAATAAAAATAATGGGCCCTAAGTTATTAATGGTCACTACCGGAAATTTGACTTCCATCTATAAAACTAATTTATTGGCTATTTTTATGATAGCTGAAATAACTTTATTGTGGCCTCTTTTTATATTTCTTATAATGAAAATTTCTTGTTTATAAATTTAGTTAGAACGAGTTTTGATTTTTTAGAAAATAGCACTCTTAAAAAGTGTTGTTAGGTCTTTAAAACAACCTTATTAAAAATAATTTTAGTAAAATTGAAGATGAAAAATTTCAAAAGAAATTAGAAAAACGAATTACTAAAAAATTATTAAATAAAAACTCTAAAATTTGAAATTTTGTAATAATTATCTGAACAATCCTATTTAATATTTGCCACTAAATACAAAACTATAAAAATAAAATAAATAAAAAAAAACAACTAATTAATGAATAGAAATTGTTTATTACGAAAAAATAATAATTTATTACTATACAAAACTAAAATTTATTTTGTAGCCTTATATATACCTTAAGGATGAACGTCTCGTCTTAAAAATCTACTAGGAACTTAACAATACAATAGTTTTATGTACAAGATCAATCAACGAATGAATCTATTCGAGATAAATTTTAATATCACATATGAATTTTCGGCAAAAAATCATCCTTTTCTTCTTGCATATCTCCTATCTAACTTTACATAAAGTATCTATTTTGTATAGCAGTTAAAGTTGTGGAAACTTACATTGTGTAGATTTTACATGTACACAAATATTTACAAACAATTTCGTGTAACTTTACTATTTTTCGATATATGCGAGGTCATAAAATAAAAATAAACGTTAGATGCGCCGCTGGTATAACTAAAAAAAAATTACTGAATCTTCTAAACGAGGGTCCTAAATCACATCCAGAAAACAGTGGCGGGCGGGGGGTAGGTGTCAGGACCAGATTATCGAACAAAAAGTTATCCTGAAATAAAACGAAAATAAAATTTCAAAAAAAAAGAAAAACAAAAAAAATAATTTAAAAATTCAGAAAAAATAATAACTAAACTAAAAGAATATAATAAACAAACATTACAAAAAAAATATTTACAAAAGAATAGAAAATAGTGCTACTGTCAATTAACACAAGGAGGAAAAAACACATCAAATAGAAGCGCAAACATAATATACGGCCTGTTAACTTACTAGTTAATGTAAGGACATGTGTAACGCACTTAAAGTAATTATCCACTGTTATGTTAGAACACAGAAAGGATCGTGTTAAAGAAGTAGGAATTGTGGATTCGTGGAACTGCGGTGTTAAAAGTCGATGTAAATATCATAATGTGGTGCTAATTGTGGCAAATATTAAATAGATTAGTTGAAAACAATTACGGTAACATTGCAACATAAATATAGCGTTAGTTTCTTTTTATAACATTAACTGTTCAAGTAAAAAAAAGAATGAAATGTACTTAATTTTACTTAAAGAAAGTTTAATATGTTTAAACAGTGAAATAGTTTTTTTTTATAAATTGAACATTGGTCGTTTTCAAAAAATTAGATTATTACTATTAATTAAATTGTTTTATGAAATATACCGGGTGCGTCTCAAAAGTGGCTCACCCCTATAACTCTTTTATTTTTACAAATAAAAAAACGAGGTTTAGTATGTTAGTATATGACATAAATTAGGATTGATTTACGTATTCAATTGTTTTTGGTCATTTCCTGTTTCACCGAAAATGACTACAACTTTTGGTTTTTCAATGGCACCCTCGGTATTTTTTTTTACTTTATTTGATAGAAAATGACACTCTGAATCGAATGACATATCATATGTCAAATTTTGACATATTCAACTAAAAATAAATTGTATTTTAAATATCAATCTGGAGTAATAAAGAGGCTGTTAAAAACACTAATTTTTAATCAAAGGGCCTTGGAAAAATAGATTTGATCGTCTAATGTTTTTAGTGACTTATCTTGACCGGTTAAAATATGCCTAAATCGTATTTTTAATCATATCTCAATTTTTTCAAATAGAATGAGGGTGGCTCATTAGCATATTTGGAAAAATCATTTTTTTACGAATAATTTGATACCACACACTTGGTATTTCGAATCAAATTGTCGTTGTGAACCGTATAATTTCAAATAAACCATATGCTTAAATGTCAAAAGTTGACATATGATACGTCATTCTATCCAGAGTGTCATTTTCTATCGAATAAAGTAAAAAAACACCGAAAATAAAAAAACATTTAAAAATCAAAACTTGTAGTTATTTCCGGTGAAACCGGAAGTGACCGAAAACAATTGAATGTGTCAATGAATCCTAATTTATGTCATATGTTAACATACCAAATCTCGTTGTTTTATCTGAAAAAATAAAATAGTTATAGGGATAAGTAAAAAATGTCTATACCTATGTGGCGGATTCATCTATCCAAAAAAATCCTTATGGGTTTTTCGCCACTGCAGTGCAAGAAAAATCTACAAAATAAAATAGTTATTTTTTGTAAACACTTCTGCGTTAAACCTAAAGTGTTTACAGTAATAAAAATTTGCCTAACAAAGAAAAAAATGCTTAACGTTTCGGAAAGTTTTCTCTTTCCGTCGTCGGAAGCAAAAAAATATAAAGAATCAAGAAAAAAACTATTTAAAATATTTAAATTGAACTATTCGAGAACTTTTTAAAACAGATACGTCTACAAGAAATCCAAATAATAATTTATTTAATAATAGTTCATTCTAGATTTCTTGTAGACGTATCTGTTTTAAAAAGTAAAGTGTTCTCGAATAGTTCAATTTAAATATTTTAAATAGTTTTTTTCTTGATTCTTTATATTTTTTTGCTTCCGACGACGGAAAGAGAAAACTTTCCGAAACGTTAAGCATTTTTTTCTTTGTTAGGCAAATTTTTATTACTGTAAACACTTTAGGTTTAACGCAGAAGTGTTTACAAAAAATAACTATTTTATTTTGTAGATTTTTCTTGCAGTTCAGTGGCGAAAAACCCATAAGGATTTTTTTGGATAGTTATAGGGATGAGCCACTTTTGAGACGCACCTGGTATAAACTAACCAAATGCAATAATCAACATCGAATGTCAGAAATCTAGTTTCCCATGAAGGGCACAACGGGTGGCAAAAGTTACTTTCAATAATTCTTAAGGCCAATGAGATTAAACGCCAATAACCAGAAAACTGGTAATACCTTACAGCTTTTTAACTAGTTTCAAATTTGAGTTAATTTATATAATTATTAATTTAATTATTATATTAGTTAATAATTTCAGTTTGGATTAAAAATTATATGTTTATTTAATAATAGTTAATTTTTACCTTTCGAATATTCATCATAATATTCATTATAAAGCAAAGAGGATATCTAGCTCCAAAATAACAATAATTTAATACACAATAACATACAATAATTAAAAAAATGAGTTATTTATTGGAATAATGACCTCCAACGTCACAAATAAATTAGCAATATAAATTCTCATTTACCTATTAGCAAATTTAGATAAACTTCAGCATATATAAAATTAATTAACCTTTTTTGGTAATAAAAATTATTTATTTCCCCCATACTTGTGGAACATATAAAACTCACAGGGAAAAAACAACTAAAGGAAAGAAAACATAGGTTGACAACTCTTTTAACGATTCTTTTAGCATCACTGTCATAGATGAATGCAGCCCACTATGTGCAGAATATAAGAAAAATTTATAATTTTAGTTATATCCCAGTAATCTTCAATAACTACCAATAACGATGTGACTAATTTTGTTAATGGTAGATTACAATTAGGTATAATGAAGCAATTGATTAACAGAATAAGTTTTTCAGCTACAGCATGGTACAGGCATCATGCAGCCAAAGTAAGTTCAAGAAACCAAAGCTTGAACAAAAATGTTTGCTAAAGAGACTTAGCATTAGGAAAAATTAGAATATATAAAAATCTCGGAGGTATGGATTACCGCCGAAGCCAGTGAATGCCAATAAGTTAAGACTTTTTTAACATGTTATTTATTATTCACAAAAGTAAATATGAGGTCGAATCACAAGCTTATGCGGACGATCTGGTGATTCTAGTAAAAGAACACAATGAGGACGACATCTCAAAGGTACAGGTAGTTGTAGATGCAATCCACAGTTAACCACGATTTAAACCCACAGAAAGTCTTGATCATGGACACATTTGAACTGCCTGTTCTTCTAGGTAAGACTACTTTGATTGCGAAGGAAGTATCGAGGATAAACGTGGATAAGAAATTCAACTGGAACTCCTGTTTTCTTTTCAACTTACCATCCCAAATCAAATCTGTACAATTCAAATGGTAGTATTTTTTTTACTTGTATTTAAACATTTTTATAAAGAACTTGATTTATATTGAACTAAATATTTCTTAAACATAAACGTACGGTACTGAAAGAAACATTTGATTTATAAATTTAAGTAAAAATAAAAGAAAAAACACTATATTATTGTATCTTACTTGAAAATAAAATAATATTTAAATTGTAAAGCTTCGTTCAGAACCTCGCAATTAGTGGAATAAATTAGTGGTTTCAATTACACTTTATACTTTTTAGTTTACGATTATTCGCAATATTTAAAAAACGCAATTAAAATGAATAGAATATCCTAGCAACAGCTTGCGTTAGTCAGTTGTATCCATAGAGAAAGCCTAATATTTAGCTTATAAAACAATCAACTTTTGATTTCTAACAAAAGGCCAAAATGACATTTCTCGCAAATTTTGAAGTATAATTAGTGGAAAAGTTAAAGGTTTGATAACTTTTTCTAATAATTGAAAATGTCTACCACTAATTTTGACATTCCGAATGCTTACATTGAAATTGGAACAAACTTCTACCCTAATTGAAACCACTAATTAATTCCACTAATTCCGAGGTTCTGAATGCACAGTTAGCCTGGGCCAAGATGTCAAGAAAAAAAAATATATAAACTTTGAGTACTTTATTTTTTAAATGCCGATACCACTGGCTTCAAAAAAATATAAAAATTAAAATCGCCGACGTACAATTGTACTCTACACAAATTTAAAAAAAAAACTTTTTCAACCAAAGTAAAAAGTGCGCAAAAAGTTTTGTTAATAATAAATAACGACTATCATCACCAAAAGGTATGCCTACTGTTGCCCCCCTCCCTGTTTCCAGGAGGTTGGGTCTCTGAACAAATTTAAATAGAAATAGATTTTAATCTAATGGAAAAAGCAAAAAAATATTTTTTTCTAATATTTAAGTGATAAAATTTTACTTTATGATCATAAGTATCATTAAACAAGTAAAACTACAAACTAACATTTAATGAAGTACAATTAATAATTTTAACATCCACTGAATTTAGTATAAAAAGGAAGAAAACAATTAGGTTTTAGCCATAAGTAAATAAATAAATTTTAAACATTGTTACTGTTGTAGGAAGCAACACTCCTAAGGAGATTTTTTTGACCAATTTGCCTGCCTGGCCAGGTGGAAATACCATTTGTTTAAAAAACGTGAACTTACTGATGATTTCCATTTAAAACTGGGCATAGATAGTGGAGGTGGATCTTTAAAAATTTGTCTGTCTTTATGTTGTTACGAAAATCCCGAAATAAAACAAGAAACACATAAAAGTACCGGAATAAACAAACTTATTATAATAGGATTGGCTCCCAAAATAATAGAAACCTAAAAAATATCAGAGCAATGTTTGAGATTTTGCAACTCCATACTATTTGTGGAGTCAGTTCTTACACATTTGCCGCAGATCTAAAGTTGATAATGATTATATTGGGCCTTCAATATTCATCATCATGCCATCCATGTGCCTGGTGTGATGTTAACTCAAAAATTTACAGTCAAGGGAGAACTAAGATCCATAAAAGATATTTCCAAATGGAGTACATTATGGAACGAGAAGACAGGTGGAAATTTAAAAGAAACAAAAACTACAGTAAGTGTACT